TCCACTCAGGAATTTTCTTCAGTAGTTACGCCATCAAATAGATTTTGCTTCTGACTTTTAAATAAATGTGATAGATAGCTTTTGTAAGAGATAATCCCGAGGCTCACAGATCAACGAGTATAACCGTTGCTTTATAACCGCTGAAGCGATTATTGGCCGCACCGTCTCTAGCCTGCCTATCTTGTGGTATGGGTCTCGACGTATTTCCAACAAATCGGGGGACTCACGGTTTAATATAAGCCGCCTCCGAGATGCCGATGGATTTTTATATGAAGCTTTTTATTTTATGTCAGAAAAGTCCTCGGAATGTTTGACGCTGCCTATCAAGGGATGACTGTAATTAAAGAAAAGCAGGCTTTCCGAAAGGTACTACACATAGCGGCGACCAATCTGTAGGTGAAGAACTTACTAAGAAATCGGTTACGACTTTTGCAAGTGCTTGGTTTTCAGTCCGCTGAGTGTCTGCGACCAATACATCGCCTTAATTGCTGCCCTGAGTGGAAGGTAGTTTCCTTCCTGGTGAGCTGTTTTGAAATCTCATGTTCCTGAACCCACTTCCAATGCGGAGGGTACCCTCTAGATATCACGTTGAGTGACCTGCGGTAGACAGCTGAGCTCTTCGCTGGTAGCTTGATTACCTAACGTTACGAAATTCAAATTCAAATTCAGACCAACACAATGCGGCACATTGCATATGCCACAAATACCCATAATACGCAAGCCGATACCCAACGGAACTGACCCTACACTTGTTTCACTCCAGTGAGCGCACACAAAAAGGAGAGGAAGAAGACATTATGCATAAATAGCAACCCACCTGCTTGCAACGTACACTTGAAGCGCATGCAACAAACGTTGGTAATGCACACAAATGTCCTGGGGACAGGATATATTATGCAATATGAACATTATTCGCACTGGACCGTCCGTTGTTCCTTGCTTTCTGTTTTCTTTTTTTTTTGTTTTTGTGTGCCTAATTATACAAATTACAATGCAAGGAACACGGAAACAGTAGAGTGATGGAATGTTTAATACAAAAAAAGGTGAGGTGTCACAGCCTAAGGGTGAACTTGTGACCGGCGAACGATCAGCTGGTCGTATGGACATTTTCTTGCGCGTTGAACTCAGCGCCACTGCCAGGAAAAACTAAGCGTCGTGCACTTTTCCGTTGTGCGCTCAAATTTCATGAGTCGCTAAGTTAGCATGTGGCATGATCGCTGGCTCGCGACAGACGCCTGCCAACATAGCCACCACTGTCCAGCGCATTTCCGCGCTATGCTAATATCGCAAGGAGAAAGCAAAGAATACACCGCAAACCAAGTATGACCAGTCGGTACGTGTCAGCGAAGCGTGCTTACAACGGCCAGCGGCAAGGTGCTGTAGGTGCCTGGTGCGTGCTGGTGGTGCACGGTGTACGTAGTGGTGTAGCGGCGGCGGCAAACAATCAACAAAGTCAACGATCACTTGCGCTGCTCGATGTGTGGCGATGCATATTAACCAGCACCGTGGTGTGGCAGCGCAGGTAAGAGCGCTCGCTCTGGTCGAAAATTCTTTTGGTCATACATTGAACTCGCACTTCTTTTTGTTTTTGGCTTTTGGGCAGTTTCATTGTTATAATACTTGCTACAATTGTTGTTGTACGTGTTGTCGCCTGTCAACGGAACGTGCGCAAGTATTTTTTTAAACATTTTTTTTATCCAATTTAAACACCCTCCTTCACAGGAAAAGCGCATTAGATATTCCATACGGGCTCTCGGCGGTTTGCTCCCGAACAGGTACATACATTAAGCGCGCCACAGTTTTTTAATGAGCCCGCATGCCACAACTAATGCGCTCGTGCAGCAAATTAAGCTGAAAAACAATAACAACATTATAAAGCATACGCGGAATAAGTGGCTGCGCATTTGTTGCAAAGTATTAATTGTTTTATATCAGCAAAAAAAAAAAAAAATTACAAAAGTAGAAAAAATAAGAAAAAGTTAACTAAAAAGAAACACAAAAATATTATAACCACCACTTTTTTGCAGATAAAACGATAAAACTTCTAGCAGCAAGTGTACTGCAGCTACGTGCCTAGCTTTTCTGTTGTGGCAAGGTGCAAGGATATGCTTGGCATACTGAATGTTGCAACCAGCATTTCGCTCATATGCTATGCCTGCAGAAGTAAACTCAAGGCTTTTTCAGTTAATTTTTTTTTTTTTTATGTAGAAAGGTCAATTGATGCGTTGCCTTCAACTTACAACTCGTTTTAGGTAGCGCTCGAAAAGCTGTGTGGCAGATATGCGGGGTGCAAATATGTCTGTTACGCGAAATAGGCAAGCTGTGGCTAGATAAGAGACGCAAATATAATAATTAATTATGACATAGACAATTTTTCGAAGACTTAAAATTGTAGAAACCTTGCAAGAAAGGTGGAAAGGTGCAACATTTTGTACAGGTTGCATAATATGCGGGTACTAGAATATACCTAATAATTTGCAGTGTCCGCAATAAATATATAAAATTTATTCTCCTAATTCCTAAGCATATGGTGTTTAGCCTTCGATGGCTTGGGGGGCCAGTTCTACTCATTTTGGTCTTAGCCAAGGTATACTTAAAGTACAAGCTACATAGATCTTAAGTCGACAGAGTGTTTTCTTTTTCTTCACCACTTTCTATATAATACTTACTTTTTTGTGTGCTTGCCAAGTTCCTATGGAAAGGAGCACTCTCCCACTTAAGGCAACAGATATTCCTGATTCAATTCTCTAACCGAAATTGGAAGCTCTTATCATAAGCGGATCTCTCATCCAGCGCATAACCTCCCCAGGTGATGAGGAAAGAAAGCGGAGAGGGGGACAGGAGGGCAAAGGGTACCTTTGAATTTACAGGCATCGACCTTCCTTCGACCAAACAGCACTTCAAATCAAAATACTCTACCAATTTTCCCATATTTCAACTAAAGTCAATTGCCGGAGATCTTGGCAAACTTAATCTCAGTATTTAAATATATTTGTATATATCCTATATGGAACCAAGAAAAATAGCACAGAGGCTTTCCCTTTTCATAAGATTTCAATATTAGCGCGCCATTCCTCATTTTGTTCGTTGTCTGCCGCCAGTTTGAAATACCAAGTGAGGTCAGGTTACTTTCCACCTGTTCCTTCCAATTAAGTGCAGGTCTTCCTCTTCCGCTGCTTCCACCAGCGGGTACTGCTAGAGTGCTTTCATCCACTCGGACGACATGACCTAGCCAGCGTAACCGCTGTCTCTTCATTCGCTAAACTATGTCAATATCATCATGCAGCTCGTATAGCCAATCGTTCCATCGCCTACGGTATCCGCCGTTGCCACTGCGCAAAGAACCATAAATTGTTCGCAAAACTTTTCTTTCGAGACCATCAAAGCCGACTCATCAGATGTTAACATCGTCCACGCCTCTGTGCCATGTAGTAGGACAGGTATGATGAGCGACTTGTAGAGTTTGTTTTCGTTCGCCGAGAGGGGACTTCACTTTTCAATTGCCTACTCAGTTCAAAGTAGCACCTGTTGGCAAAAAGAGTGCTTCCGAGTTGGATCTCAAGGCTGACGTTATTATTGGTATTAATACTGGTCCCTAGATAGATGAAATTACCTGTAACATCAAAGTTTTGACTGCCAACAATAACGTGGGAGTCGAGTAGCGTATGCGATGACTGTTTGTTGGTATTCGACTTGCTCTTCACTATCTTGACCCATATCTTTCGCTTCGTTATCCAGTCTGGAGAAAGCCAAACTCAAGGCGCGGTTGTTGAGGCCAATAATGTCGACATCATCGGTGTACGCCTGCAGCTGTACACTCTTATAAAAGGTTGCACATTCTTTATTCAGCTCTGCAGCTCTTATTATTTTCTCCAACACTAAATTAAAGAAATCCCTCGATAGGGAGTCGCCCTGTCTGAAACTTGGTTTGGTATCGAACGGCACCGAGAGGTCTTCCTTATTCTGACGGAGCTTTTTGTGCCGCTCAAGATCAGTATACACAGCAAAACTTATACTTCGGGGATACCAAGTTCAGACATAGTGGCGGAAAGGCAGCACCTTTTCGTGCTGTCGAAGGCGGCTTTAAAATCAACGAAGTAGTGGTGTATGTCAATTCTCTTTTCACGGGCCTTTGTCGAGATTTGGCACATTGTGAATATATGTTCAATGGTTGACTTACCCGATCTAAAGCCACACTGAAAAGGTCCAGACTTGATAGGGTCTTATATGCGATGTTTAGAAGGCTTATTCCACGGTAATTCTCGCAGACTCTACATTGAAAAACATGTCCCAATGCTAAGCGCTCATTTGATTCACTGATATACCTGTACCTCCAACTCTTATTTAGGCAGAAATATTTTGAATGCCGGCAGCTGCTGAATTGAATTCACGGTGGTCTTATTGCTATAAGTCATTTCCAGAGACCAAACCTTTCCTTCAGGCAAGAAAACTCGTGAGTCTACCGAAATTACGTCTTTCCTCCTCTCTGTTCTGGATGTAATTCTTCTTGGCGATCGCAATTTAGTTAACATAAATTTATTTTTTTCTTTTTAATTTTGGCTTAAAGTTGTCTAAAGACATTGAAACAGGTATTCCCATTTCGTTAGTGAACACTTTACTGACAGTTTCCTTCCTTCATCTTCATCTTATCAACGTATGAAGAATCTGACTTGCTTAACCACAAATAATTCAAAATGTCAAAATGTTTGGAATGTTCGTGAAATCGGCTAAGTGTTTATTAAACAAATAAGTGTTTAACTACAAATTATAAAAAAAAAATTAGACGCACTAAAATTCAAATACGTCTACTGTATTCTACAAATATTCAAAACATAACAGCGAACCTACAACCTATTAATGTTGTTCCATGTTGAGCTAATGAATCAAAGAAAGATTTTTTGTATGCAAAAACTACATTTGACATTTTTAATAATTTTTCATTTAAACTAATTTCTAAAAGTTTTACTTAGTAAAAATTTTAAGTCCTGCACCTCCCCAAATCACCTTCCAAGAACCCTGCTTAATATTGCTTCATCACTTCCTATATGACGATACCAAATTGCTTATGCAACTTTGGCACGAGCTCATCCCAACGCGCCTGGAATAAATTGCCTGCCATCAGTTCCATGTCATACTTTGCAGCGAAAGTCATAGAAGAGAATTTCTCATGCCCCGCAACATCCGTATTGGTCCTCACCATCTCATCGAACATTTGCTTACCCGGTTGTTTGTAAATCAAGAATACATAACGCAGCAAACCACTCATTTTGGGTGCCATCGGCCCTATGTACGGCGCGAGTATGTCACCTTTGGCAATATCACCGCCAGGCACATTTACCACCAGCCAATGAAGCCATTCACGCCATGTTGGATTTTGACGTGTTGGCACGTCTGGATTTATCATGATGACGGTGTAGTATGCATCCGGTTCCGCTGTCCACTCCAGTGCTGGTTCATCTTTTGTTTGTGTGGGTGTGAATTCTTCAGCTTTGCCCACTTCCAAGCCGTTGTTGTAGTCGATCTAAACGAAAAGGAAAATTTGAAATATGGGAATAAATATTGGTAATAAAGTCACAAAAGAAAAGCTATAAAATAACATTAAAAAAAAAAATAATTAAAAAAAATTGAAGCAAATAAAAATAAAATCAAATAATACAAATACAAATTTCATATTAAGCAAAAATAAAATAAAAATAAATAAATTAAAATGGAATAAAAAATCCAAATAAGATATTTTATTTAATAATAATTAAAATTTAATTTATAAGATGTAAAATGAATTAAAACAAATTAAAGTTAAATCAAATCAAATCCGATTGTACTATATTAATGGATGAGTGCATAAGTTCGTGCCCGATTTCAAGTGCAAATTGAAATTTTTTGAAGAAAGCGCTATTATTAATCAATTATGTATTCGCCATCATGTTCGGAAATCCCCTCCCTACGTTCAACCAATTTACGTATGAAATCGCGCGGTTTCTGGTTGAAAAAGGAAATACCATAAAATAAAAATAAATGTAATAAAAAATAAAATTAAAAAATATGAATTAAAAATTTAAAAAAAAATTTAAAAAAATTAACAGATTGTAAAAGAAATAAAAATAAAATAAAAAGCAGTAAAAAATAAAATCAAGCCTAATTAAATAAAATAAAATAGAATTAACTCAATAAATAAAAGAATAATAATTTTATTAAAATAAAATAAAATGAAAGTAAATAAAACAATATAAAATGTAATTAAATTAAATAAAAAAAATAAAACGTGATAAAAAATGAATTGAAATGGAAAATTAAAAAAAAAAAAGTTTTTGTATAAAATAAATTAATTTAAGAATAAACTAAGTAAAGTAAAATAAACCAAAGTGAAATGTAGAAAATTAATATAAAAGAGAATGAAGTTTTTGAAATAAACAAGTTATAATAAAATAATTTAATTAAAATAAACAATAATAATTTATTAAATCAAACTAAAATAAAAATATTTATAACACATATTTTTTATGAAATAAAAGTTTATTAAGTTAATAATTTAAAAAATTCCGTTCACAAATTTTCCCGCACAAACCTTCAGCAACTCCTTTGGTGGTTCCTCAATTACATCGGGCACCACTTCAGTGTCCCGAAAAAGTTTATCGATTTCATTATCCTCAGCCAAAACACAACGTGCTATGAGACATATAAGTAAAATCCGTTGTTGCCACATATTCCACTAGAGTTATACCGAATACTGACTGCATGAAAGCAAATTATTTATTTATATAGATTTCTTTTCAATAAAAGCTCAGAAATAATTGTGATAATTCAAATGAAAATTGCTTGCTATTGTAAGGAAAATAAATTATTTTTAATATTCTGATAATTTATTTGAATTAGTTGCATGCAATTGGTTTTGTTAATGTAGAATGGAAGTAGAGTAAATATTTAATGATAATTAGTTGAATGCACATATATTTATTATTTAATAAATAGTATATATTTATTATGCATATTTTCAATTTCAATTGTGTTAGAAAGTTATTTTTTGTAAAAATTTAACTCAAAAAGTAAGTGAAAATAATGAAATGGATTTTCTTTTTATTTATTTATATCAAATATAGCTTACAACATAAATCTTATAAGCTATTTGTTCGGGAGCTATAGCTACTAGGCCTTAAGCTCAATACTTATTTACATATTTACATTTTTAAGTTTAGATTCCTTTTGCTTAAATCTTATGAAAGATATTGGTTCTTTTGAGAAAGTTCGTTATTAAAAGGATTGATTCGACTGAGGGAAGTGGGGAAATCATTTCTAGGTGAATTTTTTTAAATTAAAATCTTTCCCTATTAAGGACCTTTTACTTCATTTCTTAGTATTTTTTTGTTTGTATAAGCATTAGAGAGATTTCAAAAAGGGTACTTTTTCTCTACAACCTTCTCGGAGTATGCAATATATTTAGAAAACACTTCACTTCATAAAATATAAATTTCATTTGAGATTCTCTAATATAACTAACTTTGAGTATAAGTAAAATTTAACCCTTGAAGACCTTATACGGCATTACCACGGCATCGTGAAAAACATTATTCGTCCTCTCAATTACGAATGCGAATTACCCCCATTCACAAGACACGCAATTTTTATTAAAAAAAATTCTTTATCAATTATTTCAAAATTTATTTATACATGTTTCAAGAATATGCAGTGAAGTTTTTGTAAAAAAAAATTGAACAATTTTTAAGTTATAGTCGATCTCCAACGGCGCGAAAAAAAAGGTCCTTCACTGCTGCAGTGATTCCGTGGATGAAATCTAAAAACAAAAATTCTCTACTAGACAATATTGTCTCTACAATGACCTAAGATAAAAAAAATTAAAAATTGACAATATGGTGGCGTCTAAAAAAAATAGTCGAATTTTACCCAAAATTTTGGTCGTTTTTAGCCTGCCAAAATTCGATTTTTTAATCAGATCAAAAATCGATAGGTCATTGTACGGAGAACTATGTGTAGAACATGTGAAAAAAAAACGATAGTAACCGGATTATTTGTTTATGAATAATCACTGCAGCAAACTCGGAAAATGCTGTTTCGAGAAAAACGCGTTTAAAGATAAAATAATCGTTTTCACTCGTAGCTAATGAGACCTTCTAGCTGCCGAGCGGCTGCTCTTTAAATTGAAATAACTCAAAAACTATTTGAGATATCGCTTTAAAATTTGAATACGTTATTTTAAAAGGTGTAGTCTACCGAAATATGAAAAAAGTTCTATTTTTTTGAGGTGTGCCCCTTAACAGTTTTCGGTTTCGATTGTTTGTTCCATTTGAAAACGCATGGAAAATGAAAGATTTTAGCATAAATTAACAAAATCTTGAATTAAATTGGTAATCTAATGAGAGTTTCTTTAATAATTTCTCATTTTTTCTTCATTTATACACAAATAGTGATCGGTTTTAGATAAATGTTTCTGTATTAGTGTTTTCTTTTTTGATTTTCATTTGTTTTGTTTTGCGAATATAATAATTCGGCATGTATTTGGGGGCAAATTACGATTGAGAGAACGAATCACATAATTGGGCTGTCGTGGAAATGCCATATTACTCTAAGACACATATCTGTCTTTTATTTTGGAAATTTTCTATTTTTTATAGAATTTATACAAAACGAAGTATTGTATTAATTTACTTATAACCTGAAATATTTGTCATTATTTTTCCTATTTAAATTGCCATGATACAAACAAATTTATTAATGTAAATATATTTTTAATAGAATTTTCTTTGTGTTCCTTTCTCTCTTTAATGCTTATCCTTATTCCTCGATTATTGCTATTTGAAAAGTGACGACGTATATAAAGGGTGATCCATTTCGGGACTTCCTACTTTTTAGAGAAAACTTTTTCGCAGAAAATCCAAAGTTTATGGGGAACTTTTATAATCATTCCAAAGCACAGAAGAAAAAAAAGTGCCAAAGATTTTTTTCGAAGATAACTTTTTCAAATGTTGGCCGCGGTTAAGTAACAGGTGGTCCATCAATTGACGCCAATCTTTAATGACTCGTTTGTAACCTACTGGAAAAAGTCTAACGGTAGGTGGCAAATCGGTCGACCCAAAATGTCAAATTATCTCCTCACCGAAGTGTTCTCCTAATAAGCCTATTGATTGATGCGATGTGTGTGAAGGGGCGCCGTTTTGTTAAAACCAAATGTCGCCAAGATCACGAGCTTCAATTTCAGTAATCAATTAGTCGGTTATCTTTGCGCGATAACGATCGCTATTAAAGGCATCATTTTTGAAGAAATATAAATCGATGTGTCCACTGGCAGAATTCCGCTTGTTAACATACTCAATGAGCCCGAGATAGGTCTCATCGCTCAACGAAATTGGGTTCGGAAACCTCGAATCTTCTTGAAACTTTTCGAGAGCCCAAGTCGTTCCATGCGTCAGTCCGAGTTTCTTCGAACGGCGGCAAATCGACTCTCCATCGTCTTTGTGTACACTCTCAGCTAGGGCCGCTATATTTTCCTCACTGGGTGCTGGACGTGGTCTATTCGTTCGAATAATATCCAAAAATGTATGCTGGGTCTCAAGATGGGTTATGGTGTTGCGAAAAGAATGCTCAGCAGCAAGCGTGCGTGTCGGAGTCGAGTCTGGCTAAGTAGGGGTTTAACCTGCTACAATAACCAACCATGAGTTGCGCCAGTATTACGCGGGTCTCACGAGACAGCTGAAGCTCTTCGTCTGTTTTGGTTGGTGACTCGGCTCCAAAGACGCCATTCACAGAGGAGGAAACTTTGTAGCTGTTAACTGAAACCCTAGAAAATGGCGTTTAGTGCCTGTCAGTACACCGTCCTCTCCAGCGGTTCTTCCACTTGATACTGAATTATACAATTGACACTTTGTAACCGCTGAAACGATTTTCCGCCGAGCTCCTCCTCCAATTTTTGGTTTTGCGCCTTGATGTTTTTCCAACCAATGGAGGGACCTACAGTTTATATTGTACTAAACCGCCATCGAATGGCTGATGGTTTTTTTATTAGCAGCTTTATTTCATGTCAGAAATACACTGGGAGTGGTTGACATTCCCTGCCGAGGAGCGAACGCAATTAGAAAATTTAACTTAATTTTTTATTTAAATAAATTTTTAAATTGGATTCGTATCATCTTTTAACACCCATACAGTTGATTGTTTATTTTTACGTTCGGGTTCAACCGCCTCAGTACACGATTTATCACCTGACAAGGTCTCATAGACGTATTTCGAGGCACTGCTATCGTAAGTTTAACAGTAGTTTCGACCAATAGACACGAGCCTTTTCGAGCGATTGACAAACTGTTTGGGATCCAACGTTAACAAACCTTTTTTACAGACAAATGTTCACTCAATTTTGGATGTATGCTGATTCTATTGGCCTACAGTTATCTCAATTTCATGGTAGGTCACATGCCGATTTTACAATATCAGTTTCTGCACAGCCGGAGCAACAGCATACTTTGGCCTTATCAATATTCGTCTTGGAGTGACGGACGACTTCGATTGACATCAGTCCATAAATAGTGATCCTCGTTGGTGCTTTATCACCAAAAAAGTTGATTAAGTTCATGGATACACTGTTGCTGAGCTAATCAACATCGGAAGTTGTAAGGAATAATCACGTTAAATATTTCCAGTTTTAATATATTAATTTAGAATTTAAAATGATTGAATATCATCAAGATAATTTTATTAATAATACATTTGTTAAAATTAGATAGGAATGTGTTTAACTCAAATCTTATGAATAACATACATATGTATATAATTTCAAGTTCTAATATATATAAATTTTCCCAATTTTTTATGCAGCGTTGCAGATTTTATTTGAAAAATCCCCGGGAATTTTTATTTATTAGATTCCTCCAACTCCAGTTACATTCCCTCATAATTTCAACATAATTTCCCATCCATAACACTCCAAGACCTCACACTCCACTGCTCACCCCCCATCTTACACGCTAATACCGAATTGCTTATGTATCAACGGCACATATTCATCCCAGCGGGATTGAAACACATTGCCAGCCACCAATTCCATCTTGTATTTCTTAGCAAAATTCATCGTTGAGAAACGCTCATGTCCAGCAACATTTGTATTATTTATTAAAGGCTCATCGAACACTTGCTTTTCCGGTTGTTTATATATGAGAAATACATTTCGTACCAAGCCACTCTCTTTGGGATTCAACGGTCCGATGTATGGATCTATTACGTAGCCTTGAGCGATATCTGTGCCCGGTATATTCACGACCAACCAATGCAGCCATTCACGCGTTGCGGGATTTTGACGAGTTGGTATATCCGGATTCGTCATAACAACGGTGTAGTAGGTTGCGGGGTCAGCAGGCCAATATATTTTGGGTTCATCCTTGGTTTCGGTGGGAGTGAGCTCTTCACCACCAACAACATTCAGACCGTTACTATATTCGATCTGAAATTTTAGAGAAACAATTGAATTAAGTTGTAAAAATAAAAATAATGAGAGAAATTCGTTACACTATATTTCAAATGAGATAAATTGAATACCTACTTTTTTATTTTTAAACAAACATTACTCTATTTCATTTTATTATATGAGTTAATTTCATTTTTATTACATTTAGTAGTTATTGAGTTTTAATCCCTTGCCTTTACTTACCTTCAACAACTCCTTCGGTGGTTCATCCAGCACATCGGGCACTATCTCTAAATCACGGAAAAGCCGTTCAGCTTCAGTATCCTCCGCTGATACAGAATTCACAGCGAGAAAAATTAATAAGTAGCGATTTATTGCATGCAACATTTCTATTAATTTAACAGTTGTCTATATCAGACTGATGTATGGCATTGGAACTCAGCAATATTTATACACCATGCATTGATATTCAATAAAATCTTGTGAATAATTGTGCTAATTTGTATTAAATTACTATTTATTGTACAAGAAAATTATTTGTAATTTACAGTTGACTTATTTTGCTATTAGTTGCATGCAACAAGAGAACAAAAGTTTGAAAATTATTTAACTTTTTTTTGAAAAAAAAAACTGTTTTGAAATTTTTTTTTTGTGTATTCATTCAAGTTGTTGGAAAAAATGTTATTTGTAATACATATTTCCATAATTAATTATTATTTTTGGTATTTTATTACTTTTTATTCATTATATATTATATGTTACTACATAACAGGCAATATATAATATAAATTTTTGATTTCGATTCGATTATATATAATGCATCATCTAAAATATAGCAAATTTTTACATTGATTAGTTTTATGTAATTTGATTTATATTGTCAATTATTTGCTATTAATGATAATTTTTTATATATCGTTTATAATTATTATTTTAACGTATTATATGTGTTTATAAATAATTTTAATTTATTTTATTATTGCATATCTTTTAATTTTTTTTTTTGTTATGCAACATAAAATTTTCTTTACTTTTTTATTTTTCTTTATTATTTAATTTTTAATAATTTGTTTTATACTATCAATTATTTGCTGTTAATGATAAATTTTTATAAATCGCTTATAATTATTATTATAAACTATTATATATGTTTAAAAATAATATTAATTTCTGTATTATTGAATATTTTTTAGTTTTTTGTTTTGCCAATTTATTACTTTTTTTGTTATGTAATATAAAATATTTTAATTTCCTTATTTTTACTTTTCTTTATTATTTAATTTTTTATAAATTGTTTTATATTATTAATTATGTTCTACTAAATATAATTTTTGAAACTTTATTCATTATTATATTTTTAGCATATAAATGTATATAAATAATTTTTAAATTATTTCATTATTGAAATTTTTTTTGCTAATTTATTACTTTTTTTGTTATGTTATAAAAAATATTTTTATTTTTTTATTTTTATTTTTCTTTATTATTTTTTACTCAATATTATTTAATTTGTTTATAATAGCTTATCAATTTTAATTTAATAAATAAACATTTATAATTTTTAATTATCTTTGTTTTCTTATAAATACAGGAAATTATTATATATTTCTTTTTTAAATATATTGGGGTTTCATTAATTTATTTTTTATTTTATTTTTTTTGTTTTTTTTTTTTTGACTATTGATCATTATTTATTACTCAGTGATTTAATTTCGTGTTCTTTTCATTTATTTGAATACAGCAAGACAAACTTCGATCCATTGAATCGACTGTGACACTCTCGCCATTGTCGTATTCATAGAAGTAAGGTCCCATTATGCTGGACGAAAGTGCGTAAGAGACAGTAAGTTGGTTTTTTTTTTCTTTGTAATTTTTTCACTTCAGTAGTTTGAGAATTCTTGAAGCCTTGCAAAAATATATGTAATAAAAAATTCTGCTTATATGCATATACCCTGAGTGAGAAATCTGACTCGGCGCTGAAGAAAATTTTGTTAGAAAAATTTCCCAACCGTCCCTGCTTTTTGTTGAGGCACCCAATCGACGTATGTACGGCATTGTGATTGATCAGCTGGTTTCAGTAGTTTTGTGAGCTGCATTTTATATGGATAAGTAAGTCCAATTGCAATAAGTGCCGTAAGAATGTCGAGTCGCTCATTCACTCACAGTAGCGATATTTGAGGTGTAACGAACCAAACGGTGATGCACAAGCCTTACAATATCCGTAACCGGTCAAGTGTCTTCAATTTTTTTTAAATTTCACCAATCGCTTGAGTAGTTGGACGATTCATGGTGTACCATAATCTCCTCTTAAGCCCGAATCAACACTTAATCCGTAGAGCGAATATTAATCGATCCATTCTCTTAAACGACTGACTTTTAAATTTACAACAACAGTTTGGACGGTACAAGTTTCGGAAACCAACACATTTTTCTCATCATACTTCTATTTCTAGACACTAAGAAAATTTACTTACAAATATTTTAAGACAACACCTAATTTATTAAACGAAAATTTTGTTTGAGCCGGTTTTCGAACTTCCGTAATTCCAGAAGCTTTTTCAAGTAATTGTTCTGTTCGGTTATTTTAAGTTTAGTTCTATTGACCGGACTCAGATCATATATTTTTTTGGGTAGTGAAATGGCAGCTGTAACTTCTACCGTCCAAACTGTTCCTATAAATTTGTTCAGTTAAGAGGGGTCAAAAGACAACTCTGCACTTTTAAAACCACGAAATGGAATCAAAATAAATTTTACTTTTTCAGAAAGTTGTCTAATATTGCATTTTGGAAACTAGTGCTCGTATTTCCAAGTGAATAGAATAACTTTATAGAATATTTTATTTTCTTGGTTAATTTTTTTTAAAACTCATAAATTTTTTTCACAATATTAAATTTGTTATTTATGTCTTTTATTTTTGTGTATTTTGATTTTAATTATATTTTTATTTTACTTTCATTTCGCATTTAGTTTTTTATTATTTTTTTATTTTTTATTAATAATTTTTCATTTCATACTTTGTTAAATTAAATCGTTATCATTTATTATTCTTTTTAGTATTTTCTTTCGATATTTTTGTTTATTTTTTTTTTTTTGTAAAATAACCCATTTCTCTCCCATATATCGGTGAAATTAAAAACTACAGTGAGTATTTCGAGTTTTTACTAAAGACGTTCACCGTTGTTTCGCACACAACATCATACCAAATCACGCACCTGCGCAACTTCTTTTTTACCGTAATTCGTTACGCCCTATAAAAATGTGCAGAATTTTTTTTCGCTCCTTCCTAGATTTACGATTGACTACATTTTTTTACACAAACACACACACATACACCCTTAAATGTGCACAATTTATTACCAATACACGCATTATTAAAATTATTGTTAAAAAAAAAGCAAGAGATAAATAAAAGAATTACTTGTTATTGTCATAACATATTCCAAGAAACTCTAATCAGTAAACGGGATTGCACTTCCTCAATAGATATTCTTCGGTGTTTCTTTTGTCACCTTTTGTTGAGCAAACTCATTGAGAAAATTACAAAAAAAAAATATATAAAAAATATAAAATAAAAAGAATAAGAAATGCGTAGGCACACAAACACATATGTAGGTGGGAAAGGAAATCATAGATAATACTACGTGTACGCATTAAATATTTGCTAATGTATCATTTTGCTTCCGGTACACATTTGGAAAGGAGCATACTCGTATACATACATACATACATATATTGTATATATGAAAGTATTGTAATTTATAGTATTGTAGGTAAGTATTTACACTTATCGATTGGAATTGGATTGATTACCTGATTTTTATTTATTTTTCATTATATTTTTTATAATTAGTGTTTATGGTATTTTGGCATGATTCCCCATCATTGAGGTGTAGCAAAAATAGCCCTATAGGAAATTGTTTGTTTTTGAAAAAAGTTATGTATACATATATATACATATATATATATTTGAAACAATACCTTTTAACCAATCGAAAAATTTTTTAAAATCCCTATTGGTATGGCACTGAAGAAAGATGCCACCTGTCAAAATTTCTTGACAATTTCATAAAGTATTTATTAAATTCTTCGAATCAAGTAAAGAAGTGGATGGAAAGTTATTAAGGAAACGTTTCTGTTTCATTTCAAAAAGTTGATAAAATAAGTAATATATGTAATATGTAATGATAATCAATTTTAGAAATAAGAATTTTTATCATTGTAAATTTATTTAAGGTGAAAAGCCAGTTCTTTAAAATTTTAAATTTATTAATTTAAAAAAATAGTAATATATATATATAAAAAAGTATATATTTAAATTTTTATTTCGAAAATATTAAAAATAATTAACGTCGAAAGCATTGTCGAAGAGCGATGCCACCAAATGCAAATTTTTATCAAAAGAAAGAAAATAAATGGAATCAATCTCGGGAATTAGAATAAGCTAAGGATGGGTGGGAGGGATGAAGTGCATTTCCATGCCTGAGCCCTAGATTATTTCCCATCAAGACGTTAGTTAGCGATGAAGAATCGCACCCCACAAGAGGGGACCCTGTGACCCAGGTCGGTGTTATGTTCCACACATACTGGCGACGAGAAAAATAAGCCTACTGCACTTACACAGAGACCAGCATTAAAGAGATCCCGGTCTTGGAATTCACCACCACTCAGGTGGTTTTCAAAACCCCTCCCAAACGCAGAACTTTTAAGCGAAATGGTACAAGAAATTCTCCCACTGGGGGTCACACGCAGAATCCACACGAAAATTATAACTCCCCTGATAAATAGAAATCAATATTTATGGGGGTATGAGGCGATATTTGTACAATGTCCTTAGTACGTGACCCGAGCAGGCTCAGCGGCCGAGTAAAACTCGTATCTCGTGCTGATGAAAGAATTGTAAATTGTAAAAGAATGCAATTTTCGATCGAAAGACTGGGCCTGGGTACCAGCCGAACCCTAAAAGGTATACGAAATTATGGAAACCTATTTTTAAGGATTAATACCCTCATTTTGAGGGTTTTATTAAAAGCATGAAAATGGCATAAATAACATTTTGGAATCAATAGAAAAACATTAATGCTAAAAAATATTTTTTATAGAGTTGCCACAACGCTCAGATTTTTTTGATCAAATCATTATCAATGGCATTTCCTATGGACTTCTATAGTGGCGTTTGCCGGCCGAAAAAAAAATGATGGTGGAAAGCCTGGTTGAATGTGTATACTCGTATAATTCTTTTATTGAAGCATATAAATATTTCATAATTAAATCAATATTTTTTACTCTAACCTCAAAATTTGAATTTCTAATAAAATCTCTCTGAATACCGCACACATGTTTACATTACAGACATATTAACACTTTGAAAAGCGCATGAATGCCAAAAAAAAATTCAT